CATGAGGAAAGAAGACGACCTTCTTTTTTTGTGCGTGTGAGATGGAGTCTGGCTCTGTCGCCCAGGCTGGAGTGCAATGGCGCAATCTCAGCTCACTGCAAACTCTGCCTCCCAAGTTCAAGTGATTCTCCTACCTCAGCCTCCCAAGTAGCTGGGATTACAGGCGCCTGCCACCACGCCTGGCTAGTTTTTATATTTTTAGTAGAGATGGTGTTTCGCCATGTTGGCCAGGCTGGTCTTGTACTCCTGACCTCAGGTGATCCATTGGTCTCGGCCTCCCAAAGAGCTATGATTACTTGGCTGAGCCATCGCACTCAGTCAAGACCTTCCGTAAAAATACAAACCCTCTCTTCCCTTTTGCCGCCATGATGGAAGCAGGAGCAGCCAAAATGAAGTTCAATGCCTTTGTGACTTCCGACCAAAGCAAGAACCACAAAAGGCACTTCAGTGCACCTTCCCACATTCGCAGGAAGATTGTCTTTCCCTCTTTCCAAAGAGCTGAGACAGAAGTAAAACGTGTGATCCATGCCCATCTGAAAGGTTTTGATGAAGTTCACATTGTACGAGGACACTCTAAAGGTCAGCAAATTGGCAAAGGTTTACAGGAAGAAATATGTCATCTACATTGAATGAGTGCAGCGGGAAAAGGCTAATGGCACAACTGTCCATGTAGGCACTCACCCCAGCAAGGTGGTTATCACTAGGCTAAACCTGGACAAAACCGCAAAAAGTCTCTTGAACAGAAAGCCAAATCTCACCAAATAGAAAAGGAAAAGGGCAAACACAAGGAAGAAACAATTGAGAAGATGCAGGAATAAAGTAATCTTTTATACAAGCTTTGATTAAAACTTGAAATGGAAAAAAAAAAAAATACAAACCTTGATTCTCAATCTATAGGACTCTTTTTCCTGGTCAACTAAGATTTAGTATGTATTGGATTGCAGTTGTAGGATGAAGGAAAAGGGAAAAAGTTTTTTAAAAGCTTTAAAACAAGTTGCATAGAAACAATCATAAAAACACCACTTTTTATACGAGTATGATGACTTAGGCTGGAGTTAAAAAAAAAAAAACACCACTTTTTACTTGGCATATATAAAATTTCTGAAGTTATATTTACAGGCCTTATCAAAAGTAGAGGAGCAGAGATATCAGACATAAATTAATCAGAACATTCATTTCAACAGTTTCAATCAAAGAAGAAAAATATAAATTGTAATTACTTAAACATGGTAATAAAAATAGAAATTTTTTTTTTCTTGAAATGGAGTTTTGCTCTTACTGCCCTGGCTGGAGTGCAGTGGTGAGTTCTTGGCTGACTGCAACCTCTGCCTCCCAGGTTCCCACCACATCCGGCTAATTTTTCTATTTTTAGTAGAGATGAGGTTTCACCATGTTGGCCAGGCTGGTCTCAAACTCCAGACCTCAGGTGATTCACCCACCTCGGCCTCCCAAAGCACTGCGATTACAGGCATAAGCTAACATGTCCAGCCCTAAATTAGATTTTTAACAAGAGGATTAGAACCTGATTGTAGGCGAGGCACCCTGGCTCACACCTGTAATCCCAGCACTTTAGGAGGCTGAAGCAGGCAATCACCTGAGGTCAGATGTTCAAGACCAGCCTGGCCAACACCGTGAAATCCCGTCTCTACTAAAAATACAAACGTTGGCCGGGCGCGGTGGCTTACTTGTAATCCCAGCACTTTGGGAGGCCAAGGCGGGCGAATAACAAGGTCAAGAGATCGAGACCATCCTAGCCAACATGGTGAAACCCCGTATCTACTTGAAAAAAAAAAAAAAATTAAAAAAAAAAATACAGGCCGGGCGCGGTGGCTCAAGCCTGTAATCCCAGCACTTTGGGAGGCCGAGGTGGGTGGATCACGAGGGCAAGAGATCAAGACCATCCTGGTCAACATGGTGAAACCCCGTCTCTACTAAAAATACAAAAATTCAGCTGGGCATGGTGGCACGTGCCTGTAATCCCAGCTACTCAGGAGGCTGAGGCAGGAGAATTGCCTGAACCCAGGAGGCGGAGGTTGCGGTGAGCCGAGATCGCGCCATTGCACTCCAGCCTGGGTAACAAGAGCAAAACTCCGTCTCAAAAAAAAAAAAAATACAAATGTTATCTGGGCATGTGGCAAGCGCCTATAATCCCAGCCACTCGGGAGGCTGAGGCAGGAGAATCTCTTAAACCCAGGAAGTGGAGGCTGCAGTGAGCTGAGATTGCACCACTGCACTCCAGCCTGAGCAACAGAGGAAGACTCAATATCAAAAAAAAAAAAAAAAAAAAAAGATAATTACAAAGTGAGACACAGGCTGGGTGCGGTGGCTTACACCTATAATCCCAGCACTTTGGGAGGCTGAGGCAAGTGAATCACCTGAGGTCAGGAGTTCACAACCAACCTGGCCAACATGGCAAAACCCTGCCTCCACTAAAAATACAAAAATTAGCTGGGCATGTGGCATGCATCTATAATCCCAGCTACTCGGAAGGCTGAGACAGGAGAATCACTTGAACCCAGGAGGCAGAGGTTACAGTGAGCTGAGATAATGTCACTGCACTCCAGTCCGGGCAACACAGTAGGGCTCCCTGTCAAAAAAAAGTGATATACAAAATAACACATTGTAAAATTTGGAAACTTTCTAACATTGCTCTTCTGTAAACTGAAGATAAATCATAGAGCTTTCCTCATAATATTGTCCTGTGGACTCCATGTCTAGTGTCCAAATATTACATGTCAAGAGTTCTGTTGGCCAAGCTGAGTGCAATGAGCTATGATCCCATCACTCAGCCTGGGTGACAGAGCGAGATCCTAGCACAAAAAAAAAAAAAAAGGAAAGAGAGAGAGAGAGAGAAAAGGAAGGGAGGGAGGAAGGGAGGAAGAGAGGAAGGGAGAAAGGGAGAAAGAGAAAGAAAAAGAGAGAGGGAAGAAGGGATGGAGGGAAGAAAGGAGGGAGGAAGGGAGGGAGGGAGAGAAGGAGGGAAGGAGAGAAAAGAAAGAAGAGAGAAAGGAATCTTGCAAGAATTTGACTCAAAATTTGAATTTTCAGATAGGTGTGGTAGTATGTGCCTCTAGTCCCAGCACTTTGGGAGGCTAAGGCAAGAGGATCCTTGAATCCAGCAGGTTAAGTCATCCTGGGTAACAGAGCAAGACTCCATCACTAAAAAAACTTTTTTTGGCAAAAAAGTTACTTGAGTGGCCCCGCACATTGGCTCACGCCTGTAATTGCAGCACTATGGGAGGCAGGGGCAGGTGGATCACGAGGTCAAGAGTTCCAGACCAGCCTGACCAACATGGTGAAACCCCATCTCTATTAAAAACACAAAAATTAGCCGGGCATGATAGCACAAGTCTGTAATCCCAGCTACTGAGGAGAGGCAGGAGAACTGCTTGATCCCAGGAGGTGAAAGTGACACTGAGCCAAAATCACACCACTGAACTTCCAGCCTAGGAAACAGAGCGAGACTCCATTTTAAAAAAAAAATGTTACTAGAGTGAATAACGTTGGCACAACTGACAAGTCATATAGAAAAAAAATTATTCCATCCATCCCTCATTCCCTCTATAAAAGTAAACATAAGATCAACATGGCCAAAACAAATCGTTTTAGTAGAAAGCATGACTAAATGTCTTTATCTTAGAATGGGAAGGGAATTTCTAAACACAACACAAAATTTAGAAGCAACAGAGGAAAAACTAACATGTTTGGCCATGTAAAACTTCTGCATAGGGAAAAAAATTTTCAATGATTTTTTTTTTTTTTTAATATCATAAAACCAAGTCAAATCTAAAACTGGGAAATAAAATATTACCAATCTCTCACGGAAAAAGAACTAATGTCCTAATTCCCAAACTCATAAAAATGAATACTTAAAAAACTGAAATAGGTCAGGTTTGAGGAGTTTGAGACTAGCCTGGGCAACGTGACAAAAGCCCATCTCTACAGAAAATATAAAAATTAGCTCAGTGTGATGGCATGCACCTGTGGTCCCAGCTACTTCTGGGAGGCTGAGATAGAAGGATGGCTTGAGCCTGGGAGGTGAAGGTTGCAGTGAGTTGTGGTCATACTACTGCTCTCCAGCCTGGGCAACAGAGCCAGATCCTGTCTCAAAAAAGAAGAGGGGAAAAGAGAGGAAGGGAGGAGAAGAGATGGGGGGAGGGGAGAGAAGAAGGAAAGGAAAGGAGAGGAAAGGGGAAGAAAAGGAATGGCTAATCATGGTTGTCTTAGAGAATGCAACTATTTTTACTGTATAGGAGTAGTTATTACTATAGTCATTATAATTTTTTACCATCTTTTTAAAGAAAAAAGATAAATAATTTAAAAAAAAAAAAGATAAATTCTGAAAAGTAATAGCTAGTCCAAATGAGGTACAGTGGTGTTTAAAACTCATGGATCGGCCGGGCGCGGTGGCTCACGCCTGTAATCCCAGCACTTTGG